TGATTTCCTGCATGTTAACGATGACCTTATCCTAGGAACTGTGTATATACCACCAGAGCAAAGTAGATTTCATTCACCGGAAATATTTACAACACTAGAAAATGATATCATTCGTATGTCAAACTGTTCACAGTACATGTGTATTGTTGGTGATATGAATCGTCGTACTAAAAATCTTCCGGATTTTATCATTTTGGACGAATATTTATGTGACAATGATATTATTGACGAGGAATTATTGTTTTCAAATGTACAACTTCTAGTTGACACCGGTGTAAAGTTAGATAGAATATCAATGGATACTGAAACAAACTGTAACGGGTATAAACTCCTGGATTTATGTAAAAATAACGGGCTGTATATTGTGAATGGAAGATTAGGCAAAGACAAGGGTATTGGTAAACTGACATGCAGAAATGCCAGTGTTGTCGATTATTGTATTGCATCAGCAGAAACATTCCCATTATTAATAGATTTTGAGGTACAGGAGTTTGACCCAATCTCGTCCGATGTACACTGTGGCTTATCGTTAACGTTAGATTGTACAGCACAACAACTATCTCCAGTTATAGATGATGACAAGGATGAACATGTACATAAAGTTGTAAAAAGATGGGTTCCTGATAAAAGTGAAACATTTTTATGTAATATCGATAAGGTTGCCATTACCCATCAGTGTACAGAATTAGATGCATGTAAAGACCAAATAGAGCGAAATGACATTAACCAAATTGTAAATAAACTCTCTCAGACGCTGGTTAATGCGGCTGAAACTACTCTAGGTACTGTAAGAAGTTCTAGACATTCTGTACATAAGCACAAGCATAAACCCTGGTTTGATGAAAAATGTAAATCATCACGTAGATTTTACCACAAGCGTAAACGTATATATGGAAGGACTAAAGACAGTAATAGCAAAGCTATGTACATTTCAGCTAGTAGAGCTTATAGTAAAACCCTAAAGAAGGCATTTAAGACATATCAAAACAAATGTGTCCAACAACTGAGGGAATGTAAGGATAGTAACCCTAAGAATTTTTGGGAAATTTTAAAATCATTTGAACCAAAGAAAACAGCAGAAAAAATCAGTATAGACAATTTTTTTCAATTTTTTAAAGATCTTAATCAAAGTTCTGATGATAATGACGATGTTTTTGCCAATAACACAAATTACGATAATCATGATGATATCTTAGATTGTAGGATTACAGAAGAAGAAATTATGTCAGCTGTCCGTGCATTGAAGAATAAAAAGGCTTGTGGGTTGGATGGTATTTACAATGAGTACATTAAAAGCTCTATTCATGTTATGATGCCGGTTTACGTAAGGCTTTTTAACCTCGTTTTTGACACTGGAGTTTTACCTGAAGCTTGGCTTGTTGGCAAAATAAAACCAATCTACAAAAACAAAGGAAACCAAGCTGACCCAGACAATTACAGAGGTATTTCTATCCTAAGCTGTTTAGGTAAATTGTTCACTACACTATTGAATAACCGTTTACAAGCTTACTTGAAATCCACGCCATCAGAGGCTTAAAACGACATAAAAAAACCCCTAACATTGACAACTCAACCAACCCCGCCCAAAAAGCAAATAATCTCGCCAACCACTTTTCGGCCGTTAGCAGTAACACCAACTTCAGTAAAAAATTCCAAGATAAACTTAAAACAGAAAACAAACCCACAAAAGAACCAAACAATAACAATCTAGAAATAAATCAACCCTACACAATGGAGGAGCTCCTCTACGTAATCCAAAACAGGAAAAAGGGCACAGCCCCAGGATTAGACCTAACTTCTTACCAAATAATTAAAAAACTCCCCCTAAAACTACTCCAGGCACTACTCAAACTATACAATCTCATCTACCTAAACGGACAGGTTCCTACTCCCTGGAAACAGGCCCTAGTCATACCAATCCCTAAACCTAATAAACCAGCTAATCAAGCTAACTCATATAGACCAATATCCCTAACTTCAAACTTATGTAAAGTAATGGAATCAATGGCTAAAAATAGATTACAACATTACTTAACCCAAAATAACATCATAAACCCAGATCAAAGCGGTTTCACTCCTGGCCGCTCAACCCTAGATAACCTCACCCGACTAGAACAAGATATTAAGACAGGACAGCTAAATAAACAATATACCACAGGCATCTTCTTAGACTTCTCTAAAGCTTTCCACATGGTATGGCACGATGGGCTAATACAAAAACTTAAAAAAATAGGACTCAAAGGTCAGATAATAAACTACATCCAGGACTTCCTAAACAACCGTAAAATAACCGTGGGTATAGACCAAACTCTATCGGACCAATGTCCCCTAGAAAATGGTACTCCACAGGGCAGTATCCTCAGCCCCACCCTCTTCAATATAATGATAAACGATCTATTCGAGGGCCTATCTCCTAAAGTAAACACATCAAAATTCGCGGATGATGGAGCCATCTGGATCCGCACTAAAAGCATGAACATGGTCCAAAATTTACTCCAAAAATCTCTTAATAAAATACAACAGTGGGCTGACAAATGGGGCTTCTCCCTTAACTCAGAAAAAACAACAGGAATAGTATTCAAACATAAAAACATGAAACCCGCCTCCCCAATCCTCCAGCTAAACAATCAAACAATCAAATTTCAAAAACAAACCAAATTCTTAGGACTTATTTTCGATGAACATCTCACCTGGGATGCTCACATCCAAAACCTAACAACTAAATGCAGTAAAGACCTAAACACCCTAAGATGCCTAACTGGTTCTAACTGGGGAGCATCCAAAGATACCCTCCTCTCTCTCTACATATCACTAATTAGATCAAAACTAGACTACGGCTGCGCCATATACAACACCCTAAACAACTCTCTATCTAAAAAACTTGACTCAATACAATATCAGGCTCTCAAACTAATTACACGCACCCAACATGGCACCTCCTACACCTCACTTCAGGCCTTAACAGGAGAAATGCCACTAAGTCTACGCAGGGAACAGCTAAGCTTAAATTTCTGGGCCGCGTCCCAATCAAACCCTCTCATCCAAAACTTAATAAACCAAAACATCAGCCCCAAAAACCAAGCTCTAGCTCGTAAACACCCCTTACTTACCCCAATATCCCAAAGAATAACAAACTACCTAAATGAACACCAAATTAAAAATCTTAAACAAAACTGCAAACAATCAAATATCTTCACCCCTAAACTTAAAATACCCAAAATAGACACAACACTAGCTAGCCAAATAAATAAACAAACCGACCCAAACATAGCTAAAACTACCACACTAGCATACATACACGAAAATTGGCCAAATTGGTGTCACATTTACACGGACGGATCCTCAGATCCGACCTCCAAACACACAGGTTTCGGAGTCCATACCACACAACCAACTAAAACCACACAATCCTTCCGACTCCCTAACAACCAATCAATATTCACGGCAGAACTAATGGGCATGGCCTCAGCCCTCCATAATCAAGAATCCAAAAACCACAAAAAAATCCTAATACTTACCGACTCCCTAAGTGGACTGCAAGCCCTCCAAAACAAAAATACCAAAAACCGACCTAAATTAATAAATCGAATACTTAAAAGCTCCAACGACCTAACTAAGGCAGGCAAACAAATAACCTTCTTGTGGATACCCGCCCACGTAGGAATATACGGTAATGAAAACGCCGATAAAGCAGCTAAACTATCCCTCAAAATCCCAGAAATAAGCTTAAACTTACCCATCTCAAAATCAGAAATTAAAAGTGTAAACAAGCAAAAAATCACCAAAAAATGGCATAACCTATATCTAAACTCAAATAGCCAAATCAAAAAAGTGCTCAGCAAACCACTAACCAAACCAAAAATTCTCCATCCATCCAAAAAAATCGACAGAGTAATCACTAAACTCCAAACAGGACACACCAACCTAAATAACCACCTAAAAAAATTTAAAAAACACACTACAGGTAACTGCCCACACTGCAAACAACCAGAAACCCCAGAACACGCACTCATCCACTGCACACACTACCTAACACATCGAACCGCATTACAAACCACCCTCAATCTAAACAAGGCTCTAACTCTAGAAGCAATACTAAACCCACAAAATAAACTAGAAAACTTCAAGGCCTTAGGCGTATTCTTAATCAAAACGGAACTAATAAAACGCATCTAAAAACACAATAACTCACCAAATCAAAATCACATAAACAAACAAACATCCACCATACCCAGCTCCCTTAGTTCTCCTCCCCAATCCCATCGGCATCTATTCCAAATCTCAAAATTCCCAAATTCTATATAAGCAACCCCTAAAACCCCCCTCTTGGGTTGCACAGACCACCTTCGCCCCTTTCGGAAACACATTAAATGGCCTGGCCGGGCCCGTGTGCGAAATACGCATCAGTCGGAAAGCGCACGTTAAATCTCCAAAGTAAGTAAGTAAGTAACAAGCTTACTCAGTTCAGACTAATCTGATAAGCGAAGCGCAAGCAGGATTTAGAAAAAAATACTCAACAATTGACAATATGTTTATTCTTAAAGCTCTCATTGATATCTATAGAAACCTTAATAAGAAGTTGTATTGTGTTTTCGTCGATTTTAGCAAAGCTTTCGATACAGTATGGAGGTGTGGTCTGTGGACAAAAATGATAAAGTCTAATATCAAAGGAAAATGTTTTAATGTCATATATAATATGTATCAAAATATCAAATCTTGTGTTACACATAATAACAAGGTGTCAGGTTTCTTCCCATGTCAAATTGGTGTAAGACAAGGTGAAAATTTGTCACCTTTCCTGTTTGCTTTGTACCTTAATGACCTTGAACGATTTTTATCTGAAAATGACTTTGAAGGACTGCATAATGTAAATAACCTTTTAATAGATTCACTTGAACTGTACATAAAACTTTTTCTCATTTTGTATGCCGACGATACTGTTTTAATGGCCGAAAGTCCAGAAGATTTAAGAAAGTGTCTCACTATATTTGAAGAATATTGTACTACCTGATACTTAAAGTCAATGTTGACAAAACGAAAGTTGTTATTTTTGCCAAGCGCTCCACAAATAGAGTCTTCAAGTTTATGCTAAATGGCTCGTTTCTTCATGCTGTTAAAGAATATGTTTACCTTGGTATTTTATTTACAAACACTGGTAGATTCTGTAAGGCACTAAAGAGACTGACAGATCAGGCATCTAGAGCAATGTACGCTGTATTTCGTAAAATTAGAATATTAGAAATTCCTATTGACTGTCAACTGAAATTATTTGATCAACTTGTTCAGCCAGTATTGTTATATGGATCTGAAGTGTGGGGTTTTGAAAATGCTGTTGTCATTGAACGTGTACATCTTAAATTTTGTAAATATATTCTCAAGTTAAAACAGTCAACACCCGATTACATGGTATATGGTGAACTAGGGAGGTATCCTCTCAGCATTTTCATTAAGATAAGAATGATTTCATATTGGTGCAAGCTAACATCATCACAAACTAGCCTTTCTAGTATAGTATATAAACTTATGTTTCAAATGTCCATTGCAAATCCAGATTACCATTTCCCACTATTAAAAGAAGTAAAATGCATTCTTCAAAATATAGGCTTTAATTACATTTGGCTGTCTCAAACCTTTATTAGTGCCGCATGGTTGAAACAAAATGTGAAACATGTTCTCATTGATAATTTTCTGCAAAGATGGCGAGAATCAAAGGAAAATTCATCTAAAGGTTACTATTATAACATGTTTAAAGAGTTACCATCTCTAGAACCTTATTTACTAGAACTACCAATCACCTTACGCATCTCTCTTGCTCGTTTTAGAACAGCAAATCATAGATTACCCATTGAAACAGGAAGATGGTATAATATTGTGAGAGAGGAAAGAAAATGTACATTGTGTAAAAATTGTATATGTGATGAAATGCACTTTTTATTAGAATGTCCAAAACTCTCAGAAATTAGAAACAAGTTTTTGCCTCAATACTACTGTATGTATCCTTCTGCCGTAAAATTCTCTCATTTGATGTCCATTACTTATAAGCCAACTCTATTAAAACTGGCAAGTTATATAAGATCATGTATGGAAATGTTCCACTGACATGTTTTCTTCATTGTATCTTATTCCTGTGTCCATTTACATCTCTGTATCACTGCCGTGATTTACGAGAATAAACATCATTCATCATTCATATATAGAATTTGGGAATTTTGAGATTTGGAATAGATGCCGATGGGATTGGGGAGGAGAACTAAGGGAGCTGGGTATGGTGGATGTTTGTTTGTTTATGTGATTTTGATTTGGTAGGTTATTGTGTTTTTAGATGCGTTTTATTAGTTCCGTTTTGATTAAGAATACGCCTAAGGCCTTGAAGTTTTCTAGTTTATTTTGTGGGTTTAGTATTGCTTCTAGAGTTAGAGCCTTGTTTAGATTGAGGGTGGTTTGTAATGCGGTTCGATGTGTTAGGTAGTGTGTGCAGTGGATGAGTGCGTGTTCTGGGGTTTCTGGTTGTTTGCAGTGTGGGCAGTTACCTGTAGTGTGTTTTTTAAATTTTTTAAGGTGGTTATTTAGGTTGGTGTGTCCTGTTTGGAGTTTAGTGATTACTCTGTCGATTTTTTTGGATGGATGGAGAATTTTTGGTTTGGTTAGTGGTTTGCTGAGCACTTTTTTGATTTGGCTATTTGAGTTGAGATATAGGTTATGCCATTTTTGTGATTTTTTCCTTGTTTACACTTTTAATTTCTGATTTTGAGATGGGTAAGTTTAAGCTTATTTCTGGGATTTTGAGGGATAGTTTAGCTGCTTTATCGGCGTTTTCATTACCGTATATTCCTACGTGGGCGGGTATCCACAAGAAGGTTATTTGTTTGCCTGCCTTAGTTAGGTCGTTGGAGCTTTTAAGTATTTGATTTATTAATTTAGGTCGGATTTTGATATTTTTGTTTTGGAGGGCTTGCAGTCCACTTAGGGAGTCGATAAGTATTAAGATTTTTTTATTCTTGATTATGGAGGGCTGAGGCCATGCCCATTAGTTCTGCCGTGAATATTGATTGGTTGTTTGGGAGTCGGAAGGATTGTGTGGTTTTAGTTGGTTGTGTGGTATGGACTCCGAAACCTGTGTGTTTGGAGGTCGGATCGGGGGTTCCGTCCGTGTAAATGTGACACCAATTTGGCCAATTTTCGTGTATGTATGCTAGTGTGGTAGTTTTAGGTATGTTTGGGTCGGTTTGTTTATTTATTTGGCTAGCTAGTGTTGTGTCTATTTTGGGTATTTTAAGTTTAGGGGTGAAGATATTTGATTGTTTGCAGTTTTGTTTAAGATTTTTAATTTGGTGTTCATTTAGGTAGTTTGTTATTCTTTGGGATATTGGGGTAAGTAAGGGGTGTTTACGAGCTAGAGCTTGTTTTTTGGGGCTGATGTTTTGGTTTATTAAGTTTTGGATGAGAGGGTTTGATTGGGACGCGGCCCAGAAATTTAAGCTTAGCTGTTCCCTGCGTAGACTTAGTGGCATTTCTCCTGTTAAGGCCTGAAGTGAGGTGTAGGAGGTGCCATGTTGGGTGCGTGTAATTAGTTTGAGAGCCTGATATTGTATTGAGTCAAGTTTTTTAGATAGAGAGTTGTTTAGGGTGTTGTATATGGCGCAGCCGTAGTCTAGTTTTGATCTAATTAGTGATATGTAGAGAGAGAGGAGGGTATCTTTGGATGCTCCCCAGTTAGAGCCAGTTAGGCATCTTAGGGTGTTTAGGTCTTTACTGCATTTAGTTGTTAGGTTTTGGATGTGAGCATCCCAGGTGAGATGTTCATCGAAAATAAGTCCTAAGAATTTGGTTTGTTTTTGAAATTTGATTGTTTGATTGTTTAGCTGGAGGATTTGGGAGGCGGGTTTCATGTTTTTATGTTTTTATGTTTGAATACTATTCCTGTTGTTTTTTCTGAGTTAAGGGAGAAGCCCCATTTGTCAGCCCATTGTTGTATTATATTAAGAGATTTTTGGAGTAAATTTTGGACCATGTTCATGCTTTTAGTGCGGATCCAGATGGCTCCATCATCCGCGAATTTTGATGTGTTTACTTTAGGGGATAGGCCCTCGAATAGATCGTTTATCATTATATTGAAGAGGGTGGGGCTGAGGATACTGCCCTGTGGAGTACCATTTTCTAGGGGACATTGGTCCGATAGAGTTTGGTCTATACCCACGGTTATTTTACGATTGTTTAGGAAGTCCTGGATGTAGTTTATTATCTGACCTTTGAGTCCTATTTTTTTAAGTTTTTGTTTTAGCCCATCGTGCCATAACATGTCGAAAGCTTTAGAGAAGTCTAAGAAGATGCCTGTGGTATATTGTTTATTTAGTTGTCCTGTCTTAATATCTTGTTCTAGTCGGGCGAGGTTATCTAGGGTTGAGCGGCCAGGAGTAAAACCGCTTTGATCTGGGTTTATGATGTTATTTTGGGTTAAGTAATGTTGTAATCTATTTTTAGCCATTGATTCCATTACTTTACATAAGTTTGAAGTTAGGGATATTGGTCTATATGAGTTAGCTTGATTAGCTGGTTTATTAGGTTTAGGGATTGGTATGACTAGGGCCTGTTTCCAGGGAGTAGGAACCTGTCCGTTTAGGTAGATGAGATTGTATAGTTTGAGTAGTGCCTTGAGTAGTTTTAGGGGGAGTTTTTTAATTATTTGGTAAGAAGTTAGGTCTAATCCTGGGGCTGTGCCCTTTTTCCTGTTTTGGATTACGTAGAGGAGCTCCTCCATTGTGTAGGGTTGATTTATTTCTAGATTGTTATTGTTTGGTTCTTTTGTGGGTTTGTTTTCTGTTTTAAGTTTATCTTGGAATTTTTGACTGAAGTTGGTGTTACTGCTAACGGCCGAAAAGTGGTTGGCGAGATTATTTGCTTTTTGGGCGGGGTTGGTTGAGTTGTCAATGTTAGGGGTTTTTTTATGTCGTTTTAAGCCTCTGATGGCGTGGATTTTGCGCCAGACCATTCTGGCATCTGTACGGTTATTTATACCTTCGCAGATTTTTTTCCAGTCTCTACTTTTGGCTATTTGGACTAGTTTTTGAACCTGGTGGTTTAGTTCGTGGGCTATGTTTAAATATTTGTAGTCGCGTTTTGCTTTATTGAAGGCTGATTTACGTTTTCGTCTAGTCTGTTCTATTTCTTCATTCCACCATGGTACCGTCGGTTTGCCTGTCTTAGATGTTTTGAAGGGGATGGAGGTTTTGGCTGCGTTTATTATATAGTCTGTTAGGTTTTTACAATAGGTTTCTGGATCATTATTTTCTATTTCTTTTAAGTTAGCTTCGTTGCAGATATCTTGGAATTGGTCCCAGTTAGCTTTATTGTAATGGAATTTTGGTTCTTGGTTTTCTGTTTGGATTGGTACGATTGTATTTCCTATGGTTATGTTTATGGGGAAGTGGTCACTACCTAGCGGGACGTCGTGCACTTCCCATTGAGTACTTTGGGCTAGATCCGGGTGCATATGGTTAGGTCGATAGCCGACATTTTTTGGTTTATCTTATCGTACCTCGTGGGTTGGTTGCTATTAAGGAGTACTAGGTCGTTTGTTTCTATCCATTCGGAGATTAATTTGCCATGATTATCTATTTTATCATCTATGCTCCATGTAGGATGGTGAGCGTTAAAGTCTCCTAGGAATATAGTAGATTTATCGCTTATTTGGAGTAGTTTGTTTAGATCCTCAGGTTGGACTTTTTGTTCCGCCCAGTGGTAAATATTTATGATGTTTATGTTTCGGTTATTTAATGTGATTTTAATGCCGTTGGCTTCTAGGTTTGGCGTGTCTATTTTTATTTCTTCGTAATTTATATCTTCCCTGATAAATATGATTAGTCCTCCTGCGGCTCTTCTTGTTTTCGGTTTAGCTCTGTCAGTTCTAACTGAGTTGTAGTTAGGTAGTGTGAATTTGGATTTTTTTGAGAATTTGGTTTCCTGTATACAAGCAATGTGAGGGCCTTTATTTAGTTTAAATTTAGTTTTTAGTTCATGGCCGTGGGAGGTGAGTCCGTTGGCGTTCCACTGAAAAATATTTAGTCCTTCGAATATTGGGTTCGGGTGATTGGTGATTTATTTTTTATTTTTTATTTTATTCGGTGAGTTCTTTTAGATGGAGGTTAAAGAGGAAGAAGGGAAGATCGGTTAATTTTAGATTGAAAGCTACTTTGTAGAAGGATTTCATGCTAGCTTTTGGTGAGTTTTGACTATGCATGTATGCTAGGAGTAAGGTGAGGTTGTTTAGGTTTTGGGTGTTGGCTGGTTGGGGAGTTTGGTTTGTTTTAGTTGGAGTAGTGTCTATTGTTTCCTCAGTAGTGGAGAAATCTTCGTCATCGGTTAGATTAGGTTTAGCTAATTGAGTTTCCATGCATTTTTTACATTTAGTTTTACGGTATGTGCATTGGGAGGCAGTGTGGTTGTATTTGAGGCACTTTGTACATTGCTTAACCTGCTTTATATAGGGTTTGACTTCTAAGTTGGTGTGGGCTCCGAAGGATATGTGTTTGGGGGCTTCAGGGAATTTAGCGGTCTTTTTGAAGTTGATTATAACAATGGAGGTTGGGACCGTTTTTCCGTTTCTAGTTGAGGTTATTCTACGCGTGCTGGTGATTAGGGGTTGAGGGTTTTGGTCTTGGTTTATGTTAGCTTCTAGAGAGTATAATTGTAAGTCCTCAGTTGTTTCCCTTGGGTTAACCCTAATTACGCCTCGTGTATATTGTTGCCAATTAGGTGTTTGTTTGATTACTGTGACGTGGAATATTTGAGTTATTTTATTTGCTGCGTTGTAAGATTCTCGGTCAGGGAAGATTATCTGGTATCCTTTGTTGGCTTTTTTAATATTGTTGTAATTTATTTTTTCTCTTTTCAACCAAAGTCCTATTTTATCTGCCGAAAGTTCTAGTGAGAGAGTGGTGCCTGAGCCTGCTGAGAAGAAGTAGAGGGCGAAGGTGGTGAGGAAGGCGGCCGGGGAGGGTGTGGGCGAAGGAGGTGGAGTGGATGTGTCGAGTTTGCGTTTTTTGGTGTTTTGAGGTGGCGAGTTAGCTGGTTTGGTGGGGGTGGTGTGTGTCGTGTTTTCGCCATACTCGGTCGGGACGATGTTTTCGAGTGACCTCCCGGA